ACCATTGCCATTTTGACCATTATTTTGGCCACCAAATCCATTTTGGCCGCATCCATTTTTTACCATGCCATTTTGACCATTGCGATTGTTACTAAAGTCCATATTAATGTTTGGCAGTCATTATTGCCATTGTTTCCATTTTTGCCATTATTTTGGCCACAACATCCATTGTTGCCATTGCCATTGTGACCATTATTTTGGCCACCATTACCATTTTGATTACCACAACCACTGTTACCATTACATTGTTACCATTACCGTTGCGACCATTATTTTGACCACCATTACCATTTTGACCACCACATCCATTGTGGCCATTCTTTTGGCCACCATTACCGTTTTGACCATTATTTTGACCACATCCACCATTGTTACCATTGCCATTACGATTATTGCCAAAGTCCATGTTAACATTCTGGCAATCATTATTGCCACCGTTACCATTTTTACCATACTGACCATTTTGACCACAATTCATGTTTGCGTTTTGGCAATCATCATTTCCACCATTTTTACCATTATTCTGACCATTACCACAGTTGATATTGATCGCCTGGCAATCATCCTTCTTCTGGTTACCGTTTTGACCACCATTGCCCATCTCGGCTGCAAAATCCATAGCGAATCTCTTCAAATCCGAGCAATTTCTTTGGGCAGCTTTGGCGTTGTTTCTGATTTTTTCGACACTCTGGGAAACAGTTTGCTACTCCTGGTATAGGAGATTGCTGGAAGTACTGTTGGATTTCGTTAGCTTTTTCTCGGATGAAAAATAACCTGTGACCATGTCCACGACGTAGACCATCATGTGGCCACCAAAACGGGTCTCCGATTCTGCCCGGTGATCTTTGAAGAACTGCCATAGAATTTCTCTACCCAACTAGAGAAAAAAAAACAAATTAATCCGTATTGTCTACTACTTGCAACTAGTTGCGACTTCCCGTAGGGTAGTTATAGTAATCGCAAAAAAATCGAAAATGAAAATTTTTGCATTTCTCGACGTTTTGAAGGTTTCTGAACATTTTACTGGCATACCTCAGAAAACTAATAGATGTGTGTGTGTGCGGATACAAATTTCGACGATTTCGGCGCACGGATTAACCGATTTGAATGGTTTAACTAGCTGTAAGTGGAATTCTGTCTTAAGGCAATTAGGGCATCGTGCCTTAAGGCAAATAGCTGGAACTTCCCGTACCAAAAATTATTATTTTTTTAAAAACGATTAACATTTTTGAAAAAAATTTACTTCGAAAAATAAGATATTTAACAAACAATTAGACAAAAAAATACTTTTTTTTGAAAAAAAAATTTTTTTAATTTTTTTTTGAATAATTTTTTTTCTTTATTTTGACATATTTTGAAAGATCTAAACTTTTTTTCAAAGCAATCGTACTTCTTTAACTGCATAAAGACGAAATATCAAACCGCGTAAGCGCCGCGTCGACGTCTAACGCGTAAACATTGGTACGGAACCCATAGGAAAGTAAACCAAAATTATACTTATTGTTAAAATCTCTATAAAATATCTGATAATTTGATGTGCATATGTCTAATGATCATTTTTGACCGCCAAAATGGCATTTTTTTTACTTTTTTACTAGATCTCCGAAACTGCTAGACCTGCCTTCATGAAAATTTGATCAGTTCTTCATCTTGTTAATACAAGTAAAATGTTTTTTGAATTTTTCAAATCGCCAAAAACTAATCAGCACGTCTCCTTATCAATACGAATCGAATGTTTTTTGAATTATCCAAATCGCTTCATCCGTGTTCCCGAAATTGTCGATGAAAATTTGTATCCGCACACACACACACATACACAGACACATGCACACACACATACAACCATTTTTTCTATGCTATGCCAAAATATTTAGAAACCTCTGAAACGTAAAGATATATAAAAATTTTTTTGCGATTACTATAACTACGGGAAGTTAAAAATTCAAAAAATTACCCTAACTAAGCACAGTCTAAGCGCCACTCTGGTACAAATGTTTACGCAAGTGCGTTTAGACTATATATGTATGGAGCACATTTCCAATTTTGTGAAAACTATTGAAAAATGTGAAAATGCCGCCAAGCTAAGCACAGTCTAAGTGAAAATGTTGCACAGAATTATTCGCAAATGCGTTTAGACTGTGACTATATGTCAATTTTGCGTAAATTAGGCAACTAAACTATTTTTTTGAAATTGAATTCGAAATGAAATGACTATTGTTAATGTTCTGGAGATAAATTGATTTATGATTTACATGTGATTTGCTCAGATATAACATGATAGCAAAAATAATGACAGTTACAGTATTTGTAATAATATATTTGAAAACGTTTAAAATTTCTCGAATATTTCATTACGGTACGGGAAGTTCGAGCAATTTGCTTCAAGGCACGATGCCATACACCACTAGTTTATTTATATTACCGGACTGGATACAACTCCGGCGAGCAATATCGGGAAATCCATATTAGGGACATCAGATCCCCAGCCGAACTCCAAAACCTTTGTCAGTAGCTCTTCGGATTGTACACAACCCATTTTTTTGAGTATCAAATTTCGGGTTGCATTATTTCTTTCCGATCGATATCTTTCGAAGGATTCTTCCAAAATTTTAGGATCGGTCGTCGTCAGGGCGGCGGCGTAACAGGCGTTCCGGATGTCCGGATTCAGGGGACGGTTTCCGGAAACGTCATCTTGATATCTAGAAAAAAAAAATGGAAATAGTGAAAAAGAAAAATATTTGTAGTGACACGCCGGGGGTACTCAGTTCGAGTCCTGGCACTGACATGAAATTGTCATATTCTTTGTTGGATTGAAATTACTGGAGGGATACTCGGTTCGAGTCCAGGCATGGATATAGAATTGTCATTCGATTTGTTGGATAGAAATTAAGTACAATTTAAATTGATGACTTCACAGGCCAAGGATACTCAGTTCGAGTCCTGGCATAGATATATAATTGTCATTCGATTCGTTATATTGAAATTACGTAGAATTTAAATTGATGACTTCACAGGCCAAGGATACTCAGTTCGAGTCCTGCCATAGATATAAAATTGTCATTCGATTTGTCATATTGAAATTACGTAGAATTTAAATTGATGACTTCACAGGCCAAGGATACTAAGTTTGAGTCCTGGCACTGACAAAATTGTAATTTGATTTATTGGATAGAAATTAAAAGGACACTCAGTTCGAGTCCTGGCACTAACTGAATTGTTATTTGATTTGTTGGATGGAAATTAAAGGAACACTCGGTTCGAGTCATGGTACTGACATACTTTTGTCATTTGTTTTGTTGGTTAGAAATTAAGTAGATTTAAGATTGTTCAATAGCTCAGTTAGTAGCTCACACGACTTCATACCCCAGGAACACTCAGTTCGAGTCCTGGCACTGACATAGATTTGCCTTTTGATTTGTAGGTTTTAAATTAAGTAAAATTTAGATTGTCAAATAGCTCAGTCAGTAGCATTCCCGACTTACTCGCCAGGAACACTTGGTTCGAGTCCTGGCACTGACGTAAAATTATCATTTTAGATTTGTAGGTCTTAAATTAAGTAGATTTAAGATTGTTCAATAGCTTAGTCAGTAGCACGACCGACCTATAGGCTAGAAGACACCGACAGAATTGTTATTTGATTTGTTGGATAGAAATTAAAGGAATACTCGGTTCGAGTTTTGGCACAGACATAAAATTGTAGTTTTGATTTGTTTGATTAAAATAAAATAAAATAAATCATATAATCAATTTCGACGTTGTGACGAAAATAGCTCAGCCAGTGGCATGCCCGACCCAAACGCCAGGGATACACGGTTCGAATCCTGGCACTGATATGGGAATGTCATTTGATGATTTGTTGAATTGAAATTAAGTAGAATTTAGATTGTTAAATAGCTCAGCCGGTAGCGTGCCTGACTCACACGCCAGGGACACTCAGTTCGAATCCTGGTTCTGACATAGAATTGTCATTTGATTTGTTGGATTGAAATTACTAGAGGGATACTCAGTTCGAGTCCTGGCACTGACCTAGATTTTTCATTTTTAATTTGCTGGTTTAAAATTAAGTAAAATTTAGATTGCTGAGTAGCTCAGTCAGTAACATGCCCGACTCACACGCCGGGGATCTTTGGTTCGAGTCCTGGCACTGACATACAATTGTCTTTTTTGATTTGTTGAATTGAAATTAAGTAGAATTTATATTGTTAAAAAGCTCAGTCAGTAGCATGCCCGAATTCACACGCCATGAATACTCGGTTCGAGTCCCGGGATTGGCAAAATTGTTATTTGACTGTTTGGATAGAATTTAAAGGGACACTTGGTTAGAGTCCTGGCATTGACATAGATTTGTCATTGAATTTTTCGGATTGAAATTTAGTAGAATTTAGATTGTTGAATAGCTCAGTCAGTAGCATGCCCGACTCACACGCCAGGGACACTCGGTTCGAGTCCTGGCACTGATATAGAATAGTCATTTTTGATTTATTGGTTTAAAATTAAAGAGAATTTAGATTGTTAAATAGTTCAGTCGGTTGCATGTTTGACTTACACGCCAGGGGTGCTCAGTTCGAGTCCTGGCACTGACATGGTATTGTCATTTAATTTCAAAATCTAAAGATTTCTTTTACATACCTAGCTTTGGCTTCGTTCAGTGTTTCCTCATCTTTCAAATCGACCAATCTATTGATGATACGATCTCGTAATGCACAATCTAGATATTGGTCACCAGGATAAATGTCGAAGGACACTCGTTTTTTAATTTCTGAATATAAATCCAGGGCGAACAACGCAAATTCATCCTAAAATTTATATAAAAAATTGACAAAAAAATTATTTCACGAGTAAACATTTTCATCAAAATTGCATATTTTGTTTTTGATATTTTTGGAAGTGATTGAAGGCAAAAGTTACATTTTTGAAAATACTTTTTTACAAATTTTAAGAATTTTGGAAACAAATACATTCTTAATTTTTATGGATTATATTCAATAATCATTTATTTTTTCAAGCCCGACATGTAATAATACATCGAGGCTGTCTTTCAAAATTTCTTAGATTAAAAATTATTGGCAAAAGATTTAGACTGTTTTTGGGTTTGTTTGTTTTTTGGTATTGAATTTTATATTCTACATTGCTAAAAAATTTAAATTATTAAAAGCTTTATATTATTTCAAAATATAATTTTTACCTGGCATTCACAAGCAGCTGAAAGATCATATAAAGGCTTTACACAAGTGTCTATACATTCCCAAACTGTGGCGTGGATTTCGTTTTTGTAGGATTTTAAAAGATTGAGAACCTATAAAAAATTAATACATTATTAGTTTTTATATATACAAGATATCCCAGAACTCAACGTCAAGCAGAAACTAATGAAATCCATTCACAAAGCTCTTAAGTGCAATTTTGAGCTTTGGTGAAACTGCGGCAATTTTTTGATTATTGTGGTCAATTTTTATCAATTTTGTGCGTTTAAATTTAAGAAACGTAAACGTGAATAACATTTCGAGGACCACAGTACAAAATAATGACCAAATTGACCCAAGTTTTCAAGAATTAAAGCTTTTCTGTTAAGCCATGAACTTAAAATTTTTACAATGGGTTGACTTTGAGAGGCGCTCT